AAATTTAATAGACAATTTCGTATTTTTGAACTTTTTTGTCGGACAATAAAAATGTGCTCGGACTTTTTGTCTTATAATAAAAAAATAAAACCAGTATTTTTATCTAACTTATCTTGTAACGGGCTTTTTGACCGTTTATACCCCCTATGTGAATGTGAATATAATATGTGACCCATTACAATTAGTAGGTAGTTCAGAAATCAAAATACATCATAGCCATATAACAACTAGGGTCCAGATTTTTATGCTTACATTTTTGCAATGATGTTTTCATATACGGGACCCAAATTCCAAGTGCTCAGAGCACTAAATATCTCGGCCTAACCCTCGATAGAAGGCTGACATGGGCCCAGCATATTAAATCAAAAAGAATAAACTTAAACCAACGTTTACGTCTTTTAAAAAATCTCATTTATAATAACAAATACACTCACACTAGTACCAAACTCCTTATTTATAAATCCTTACTTAAACCCATGTGGACATATGGACTGCAACTATGGGGAAACGCAAAAAAGTCCAATCTAAACAAAATTCAAACTTTCCAAAATCTAGCGCTTCGTAAATTATTAAATGCCCCTCCTTATGTTTCTAATCATACTATTCATACAGATTTAAAAATACCTCTAGTGCATGAGGAAGCAAAATTGTATTACAAACGTTTCCACCTCCACTTATTATCTCACTCCAATCCGCTCGTTCGAAATCTCTCTACCCCGACTATCCCCGGAAACCCTCCAAGAAGGTTAAAACGAAAATGGTGCCGTGACTTGCTCGTATAAATCAAGTACTAAAAAATTAAGTATATGCATAAAAAAAAAAAAAATAATAATAAAAAAATTAAAATAAAATAAAATATGTATAATACATATTAAAGAAATAACAAAAAAAAAAAAACGAGCGAAAGTGTCATTAATGGGTGGCTGCTCTCATCAAACGTAACATGTTGTATATAATTTATTGTAAACTGTTATTATTATTAATATTAATTGGTTTTGATACCTTATATGTATATTCTGTATCACATTTACCTATTGTGCCTAAGGTATAGATTGTAAATTTCTCTTAAAAATAAAAAAAAAAAAAAAAACATTTTTTTTATTAAACGAATGAGGAAGAGCAACCTCTTATTATCTACGTCTAAGCGACCAAGCCTTAGCTATTCAAATCGAAATCGTTATAGGTACATATTTAATCAATATTATGAACTAAATTACGAATTTCCGTGATTTAGAAGTATTTTGATAACATTTTAATTTCACTTATAAAAATGTTAAATGACTATGAGAAACATTTAATAATATTATATTATTGTGTAGTAATTAGTAAAGTAGTGACTAAACAGTGTTCTGTTTTTCATACGTCTTTTTTATTACCAATTATTGAATAACCATTTAACAATAATTATTATTATTACACCTAGTAATATTATAATATTTATAATAGTGTATCAGGCCTATGACGTAATATACTAATATGTACATTGATTGTATAATATTATTATCTGTGTAATATAAAATATTCATACAACAACAAAACAATCGTTATCACTGAAACCCAATACCATATTTCCACGGTGATCGTGATCCAGTTCGACCGTGGTAGCAGTGTATACCTTTTTCCAGTGAACATATGTGTTTTCGTTTCGGCGACGCCATCTTAATAAAAATATTCCTTAACCGTAATCATACATAAATCATCTGCGTACTTTATTTTTCTTTAGTTTTTTCAGTAAGGAGCCAATACATGTAGTAAGTGCATTATTTTTACTATTTAATGTATAGTCGTAGATTTAAATGTAAATTTATGTATTCATGTTGGATCGCGTCGAACGTACTGCCGAAATTCAATGCGCTGTGTCGAACTGTTCCGTCTATTGTTTGTTTTTCACGTAATGTGTGGTTTGGTTATTGTCGGACGCGGGAAGCTGATAAAAGTAACTGAAAGTGTTTTCCCCTTTTGAACGTAAACAATAAATCTATGTTTCTGAAAACCTCGAGGTTCTCCACGTTTTCTACTTCGCAGTGCATTGACTTTACACCTTTCGATAATGTGCCCAACTGCTAGGTTCTGTTTTTAATCGTAAGCATGTTGGTGTGTCATGATCACATATTTTCACGAATAATCTGTGTGCTGTGTCTATATAAGTCTGGCGTATCTTATTAAATACTATTTGTTGTGTTTTATAATATATTTATTATTTACATTTATATTATAATGCAGAGAGTTCTTTGAAAAGTTCCGCATAGTCAGCAAAATAGTAACCGGATTTTGAATTAGATCTGTTTATTTTATTGTATTTAGAACCTAAGTTATTATACATTAAATTCCATAAGAAGAATAACAAATGTTTAGTCACTATGTACAATTATTTTGTTTAATTTCTTTATTATGCTATTAACTTTATTCAATTTGTTGTTTCATCATTCAAAAAGTATCGTTTGACTTACTATAGATTTCTATTATCTATATAAATGGGTATTTATGCTTATATTTGTATTTTTGTATAATGTACATAGTGATACCTATTTACCTATGGCCTATTTTAGGTAAGTTCATGTTTTTCTGATATTTGTAGTCATTAGCCTTGTTTACTCATTTGAAAATATGTTAGGTATTAGGTAACTAATCTCTGATTGAAATTGTTTCTATACAACATTTTATAGGTGAAACATAATATTTAGTAGTTCACCTGTATTAGACAAAATCCTTAAAAAACATGATTTTGTAAATGCTAATTCTGATGCAAAATCAATATTATAGTGATATTGAACATACTGCGGTAGTGATGACTTTGATGATGATGATTTTGGTTTTGCCTCTTGAGTAGGTACACGTTTTAGGAGGATATTAGACATAATTATTACATTTTTCATTATATAAGTACATCGGTATGCCAAAACATATCATTCATTTTTCTATTTTATACCTATATGTATATTGTTGTTACTCAATATGATATTTAAAATAGTTGATAATTTTATCTTTGAATGGTTATTCAAATTTAATGGAAGAAAATTATTTTAATCAAGTTTTTTTGGAGATAGTTGATTTAATATACTTAATCTTATAGTATTTTCTATTCTTGTTGTTCTAAATGTATTGTACCTAATTGGTTGCGATTGTAGGTAAAATGTTCAACTGGTATTTGTGTAGTGAGATCTAGACCTATTATTTAATTATTCAATATTTATAAACTATTTGAATATGTTTTAAATATGATCAAATAAAACGTTAGTTAATTTATTGTTTATTTATTTTATGTAATTATCTAGGCAGTAAATTTGGGTGTATGATATCCTAAGATATTATACGATGTATCAATTATCCAAATATCCAATATAAGATACATATTTAAGTTTAATTTATTTAGGTAATTTACTTAACAAATTTTATATTTAAATTAACCATTGATATAGTTTTGACACAATTAGTACAAATTTTAGCATAAATGTATCATCTGTATATATATCTGAGTTCTAATTTGAGGAGGACATTGTAATTTTATTTGAACCTAAAGTAGGTAACTCATTGAATAGGTGTTCATTTGGGTACTTTTTAAATGTGTAATTATTTATTTTTTACAGGTATAATATTATTACTGTGGTTTGTAATGTATAAACTATCCATTACATTACTTCAGTATTTTAACTTAAAGTTTAAGTGGTTTATCTAATTTTCACAATTGCTATCAATTTAAATGTTATTTCGTTTTTGTTTCAGGTTTGTAACACAAAATTTGTTTTGTTTGTGTGTGTGAATGTCTTCTGAGTGAATGGAACAGTGACTAGGGCTTAATCCAGGGTTACTGTTGCGTATACTTGTCGTCTGTCTGTTTATGAGTAAGTTTATTTAATTAATAAATTATGCACGTTTTAAATTATATTTTAATAACTTAGTAGGTAACTAGTGTATAGTTTTAATTTGTCTCATTTGAGTTTATTGAGGATAGAAAAATAAATTTATATCTACAGTGAACTACGGTTTACTACTAAATGATACTTTTTTTCAATACAATTTTAAGTTTAATTTGTATGGCCTCTCAATAACCTACTTTAAGTTTAATATCAATCATAAATATTAATTATTAACAAAATTTAAAGTTATTATATTTAGGATGGGTAATTTTAATTTTTTGAATTTTGGTACTAATAATTCTTATGATAAAGAAATATATACCAGAAAAATAAAATAAAAAATCTAAATTGTTTAATTTATAAACAATATTTATTTTTGTATTGATAATTTTGTTATAAGTTTTAGATCAATTATTTATATTTGTTTTTGAAATGTGCAAAAAATAATGAAAAAATCTCCACTCTCAGAATCTGATAATCTATTATTATTGTAATCGAATCTGGAATCAATAAAACAATAATTACCTATTCCTTATCTACGTAGATATAAAAATAATTATTAGAAAATATACATTAAATTTAATAAATATAAATAATATGATTTACTGCATAAAATGTGTTTACCACAAAATACTGTTACTATTATTACGTTTACGAATAAAATTTATTCCAATAAATAAATGTACTTTTCAAATTATTTTAAAAATATATTCATATTTCACATTCAACTATTATATATATATTTTAATTATTCAATTATGTAGTATTATTAAGACTGAAGCTTCAATTTAAATAATTGGTAACATTTAGTGGTTTATTTTTGCATTTCCTCGAAAGACCACTCAATTGTTTTTATTTGCTTCCATGGATATATTTATAAAAATGTGTTAGTGATGGATGGTTTCATAAGCTTAACTAGAAGTTTTTAAAAAGTAGATTGTTGGCTGTTAGATTATTAAATGAATTATTAACATAATTTATTATTATTTTATGTACCTAAATATTTTTAAAGAAATGCACATACCTTTTCTATTTAATTTGTATAAAGGTGCATAATATAAACAATTATATATTATTATTAATTAAATTATGTATTTTTTTTTTCTAGCTGAATACTTAAGTCTTTAAAAAGAAAAAAAAAATATGGCTACAATGACAGAACAAGTGTCCAAGCTTTTGGATTTTTCTCAAAAACTTGATATTACACTGTTAGAAAACATTGTGGGTTGTATGTATACTGGCACTGGTGATCAAGTAAGTTCCTTTATGTTTTAAACTTCTAACAGATAATAATATAAAATATTTTTCTTATACTTCAGTAGTATTTATTAAATATTTTTAACATAACAGTGGTTTACACACTAGACATTTTTAAAAGTAAATCTCAATATGGCGCCTTTATCATTAACTTATTAGTTAATTATAATAAATTATAATTATTTTAGCAACGAGCTGCCCAAGAAGTATTAACTACATTGAAAGAGCATCCTGATGCATGGACAAGAGTAGATACTATACTTGAATTTTCAAATAATCAGCAAACAAAATATTTTGCTTTACAAATATTGGAACAATTAATTAAGACCAGATGGAAAGTATTACCTAGAAATCAATGTGAAGGCATTAAGAAGTATATTGTTGCACTTATCATAAAAACATCTTCAGATCCTGCCACAATGGAAAGAGAAAAAACTTATTTAAACAAACTAAACATTATTCTCGTACAGGTTGGTTAATTTTTATACTTATGTTGTGTTAATATTTAATTACAATTAAATGTTTTAGGTATTGAAACGCGAGTGGCCAAAAAACTGGGAATCATTTGTTGGGGAAATTGTAGGAGCTAGCCGGACTAATGAAAGTTTATGCCAAAATAACATGGTTATATTAAAATTGCTTAGCGAAGAAGTGTTTGATTTTTCTGCTGGAAATATGACTCAAATGAAAGCTAAACACTTAAAAGATACTATGTGTTCTGAATTTGCACAGATTTTTGAACTTTGTCAATTTGTTCTAGTGAGTGAAATTATATTATTTTTAAAATTTGATATTGAACTTCATATATATTATTTTTTTCAGGGCTCTTCTCAAAATGTGGCTTTAGTAAATGCAACATTAGATACACTTCTTAGATTCCTTAATTGGATACCACTTGGTTATATATTTGAAACTGATTTGATTGATACATTGATTTTTAAAGTAATTTTTTATTAAATACTATTAAATATTTTCTATAATTTATATTTTTATCTAAAATGTCTCATAAAATTATTTAGTTCTTCAATGTGCCTATGTTTCGTAATATCACATTGCAATGTTTGACTGAAGTTGCTGCGGTGACTGTACCGAATTATGATGCTGCGTTTGCAGGTCTTTTCTCCAAAACTATGGCACAACTTGTACAGGTACTCTATTGTTTATATTTATTTATTTATATTGTGTTATTTTTAAAATTGTTATTTTTAGATGTTACCCATCCATACAAATATTAAAGAAGCATATGCTTCAGGTCAAGACCAAGAACAAAATTTTATACAGAATTTGGCATTATTTTTGTGTACATTTCTCAAAGAGCATGCTCTTTTAGTAGAAAAAAATGGTTCTAATGAAGATTTATTAAAAGTAATTTATGAACTTATTTAATTAATACTATCATTTTATTTAATCACATATAATTATGCATTTTAGGCACTTCATTATTTGGTTATGATTTCGGAAGTTGAAGAAATCGAAATATTCAAGATTTGTTTAGAATATTGGAATAGTTTGGCTGCTAGTTTGTACAGAGAAAATCCATTCGGACAACTGCAAATAGTTGGCCTTTTCTCACTTTCTCCAACTAGCAGGCCGGATGGTAACACTATATCCCCTAGACGTCAATTTTATGCACCAGTTATATCTCAAGTTAGTTATAACTATTTTATTTAAGCTAGCCTTAATTATTTAATAATTTGTTTTAGGTAAAAAATTAATTAGTTAGGTATATAATAAACTTATGTGTCTGTTTTATTGGTTCATAGATGCGGTATATAATGATCAGTCGTATGGCTAAACCAGAAGAAGTTTTAGTAGTTGAAAATGAAAACGGAGAAGTAGTTAGAGAGTTTATGAAAGATACAGATGCTATTAGTTTGTACAAAAGTATGAGAGAAACACTTGTTTATTTAACTCATTTGGACTGTGTAGACACTGAACGAATTATGACGGAAAAGTTGCATAATCAAGTCAATGGAAATGAGTGGTCTTGGAAAAATTTAAATACTGTAAATATAATGTTTAAATATTATACGTACATATTCCTTTATTACATTTCTTTTATTACTTTATTTAGTTATGTTGGGCGATTGGTAGTATTTCTGGAGCAATGCATGAAGAAGATGAAAAAAGATTTTTAGTCACAGCTATTAAAGACTTATTAGGATTATGTGAACAAAAAAAAGGCAAAGATAATAAGGCAATTATCGCTTCTAATATTATGTATGTGGTTGGACAGTACCCAAGATTTTTACGAGCTCATTGGAAATTTTTGAAAACTGTTGTCAACAAATTATTTGAATTCATGCATGGTAAGCAAACAATTTAATACTTTTTAAATATTTAAGTGACAATACCATATAGTAAAAATTAAAATTATTTAATTAATTAATAGAAATATTTGAGGTGTAAACGATTTTTACTACATAACAAATTATCATAATGACGGGGCTATTTCATAAAAAATGTCTATTGTAATTGTTATGAGTTAATGATATATCAGTGATGACAAATGCCATGCTAATTTTGATTTACAATTATGAAATTATCAAATGTAATTCTGAGATTATCATTAATTAATTACCAAAATTGTGTGATCAAATATTAATAATGATTTATCTTTAAGCCCCGTTCACACGATCAAATAATTTGTTAAATATTTTTATTTATAATATTACTACAGTGGTTGATCATAATAGTTTGTTTTATAATATTGGTAAAATTGTTTGTGTACGATTTTGTTTTGTTTTTATTAATTTTCCTTTCTAATGGCTGTTTTTACTATTAAGTCTGATAACCTTATAGTTTTTATAACTTAATATTAAAGATATAAATCAGTGATGACGACAATACCATGCTAATTTTGATTTATAAGAATGAAATTAAAATTTTATTTGTCTGAGATTAGGTATAATTATTTTAAACATCCAATATATTGTAGTAAATACATGGGGTTTATTTTTACCAAATTTTATCTTTTTTATTATTTTTAGAATTTTGGAATAATCTAACTTTATATGAATGCGTATCAATTTAATATTAGATATAGTAATAGGAAAATATGGTGTCCTTATTTATTAGATTAGTAGTTAAAGTTAAATAAACATTATAATATATTTTAATACCAATAAAATAGTAGGATATTTTAGATTCTGAGCGGATTCAAAGCAATGAATGTATTGAGTTTACAATGATGTGTTTTTTATTTTAATTTTAAATTTTTTTGTGTTTGTGTACACGATAAGTAGTCTCAATACAGTTTCGATTATCAACTTAAGTGGAAAAGTGAATCTAGTTGGTACTTTTGGGAGGTCAAAATTTAAAGTTCTCAGTAATTTAAAAAAAAAAATGAAGGAAAAGCGTGCATTATTATGCAAATTCGGTTTTTGACAAAATCGTTTTTTTTTTTATTGAGCTTGAGCCTGGCAACTCAGGCCATTAGCTATTCTATTATTTTGTTGGTAGGGGGAGAAACACGTGTGTGTTTGTTTTGGCAGAATTTTTGATTTGGGCACCCGTAGGTATCTTCCATGCCCTGGTGGGGGATGGCGGCGCTTGTTCTCCGGACACCGTGACTTGCCCGAAAAAAATGACGCCTACGGCCGAGATATTGAACCGGCTTCGGTGTGCATCACAACCGACTACTTCGTCCGCGCCCTAAAATCGATTTTAATTTTTGGTGTAACTAAAACAAATAACTAAATACATGACATTTTCACTACTTGTTTCTATTATCATTTTCTATACACGGTAACATTTTCAAAAACTATTGATTTGTTTCGAACTGTTAACAGACATTATACATTTTTTCTTTTTTTTCTTTTAATGACAATACAATTTTATCTATTTGATAAAAAAAAACTTGAAAATTGAATACAAGGCTCCGTATCTATTGTTACAATGACAGTTAAAAATATTAAAAATACAGTCACAATTTTTTTTTATAAGCTTTTACATACATTTTATAAGAAACTTTCTTTTTAAATCTAAAATTTGAAAATGTAAACAAGATTATTCATAAGTTTGTCTACCTTTAACAAAAAAAAATTTTTTCCAAGAAAGTTTCAGTTCATATTTCTACAATAATTGGACTTTTTACTCTATTTCTCATGTAGCGATTTTCTTATTTTGTTGTAATTGAATAACTGTAGATACATGAAAATTTAACTGAATGTTAATATTTTCATTTTGACAATATTTTGACTTGTTTTCAGCTATTTATGGACAATCTCGAATTTCCATTTTTTTTTCTATAAATATTTATAAATTTTATTAGTTCTGTTTAAAAGCGTGGAAACTTAATACATAGGCAAAATGATTTTCTATAAGCTTAAATAGTTTGATTTTCAACAAAATGTATCAAATTTAAAATGTAATAATTATTTTTTTATTTATGAAATGTTCAACTTTTATAGCTAAGGATTGAAAATTTAAAACAATATTCCACTTAAATAGGTTTTACTATGAGTACCGCTCAATGTTATCGCATTGGTTCAGACCACATATAATGGTTGCGCAACGAGCTATGATAAGAACATTAAATGTGGTTCCCGAAGTGTCCTCGATAAACTGTTTATAAGAACAAACGACTAGAGCTCTCATTATATTATCACCACACGTCAGTGTATTTTACTGCTACAAATTACCATAGACTAATAGAGCGCGCCGTAATACAATTCTTATCAGTCAAAATTTGAAGAGACTTTGGGGTTCTCGTAATTGCGTCTCATTGCTCAACAATTATATTTTTCTAATCATGGTTCAGACCATTTTGATTCTATTAACCACCAGTTGATTCCATAAAGCATTTTTTTTTCAATATAATATTTGGTTTGGGGCTTTCATTTTTGATTCTAAAAAACGGTTGATTATATAAACCAATGATCACATTGAGCAGAACTCACTGTATATAAATTAATTTATTCACAATTATATCATCAAATATACTTAGTAATATCCACAGACTAAGATATAATGAACTAGAAACGATAGGGTCGGCAGGGATCGGGGAATGGCCACGAAAAGTTGTCACTTAGCTGATGAGAATACTGTTCTTGAAGTTTTCAGCACTACCGGTGGTTTTATTTGGCTACATAATTTGTATCTTAGTCCGTGTTTTATACAGAGGGCGCTGTGAACTCCAGGAACACATAGAGAACCCTGCACTTTGCGTCTTGTATATACATAAATTTAACTCCATCCATTACAGTTTCCCGCTTGTAATCTATTGTACAACAGAGCGACACCCACTTGCCCAACTTTTTTTTTTACATACATGCCCCTTTGGTTGGTGTATTGTTATTTGTAAGTTAGTATTAATAATAAAATACATTGTTATAAATACTATTAAGTGTTCAAATAATTGAATTTGTGATGATAAAATGCCATGCTAATTTTGATTTATAAGTATGAAATTAAAATTCATTTTTTCTGAAATAATTCTACCTTAAAATTTATTTTTGAACACAAACTAAAATCAATGAGGTATTTGTCCAACTTAATATATTGGGAAATTGATGTAGTGTAATCGCAGGATTACATCTAACAATATAATACTTATAATACATATTTATTTGTTCATTGTTAATCTTTGGACTGTTCTATTATATATACCTATACAGGGTGTTGCATAATAAATGTGTCAAACTTCTAGAGGTGTTTCTACACCTCAAATGGAACAAAAAAGTCCTTATGACCCCTGCCTTAAAAAATATATATTAAGTAAAACTGAAATTTTTTAAAATTTTGACATTTTAAAGTTTAAATATTTATGTTATTCTTTTTACCCAAAAAATCAGGTGGGGACCTTGTAAGATATGTTTTCCTAATCCCAATTTTTCTGAGTTTCATCAATGTATTCAAATTAATTGTAGTACCTATGGTTTAGCAGATATGAACATTATTATGAATCAAACTTGCATTTAACCAAAAAAACACTAACATGGAAATTATCACCCTTATTATTGATAATTTGATTATGGTCATAAGGACTTTTTTGTTCCATTTGAGGTGTAGAAACACGTCTAGAAGTTTGACACATTTATCGTGCAACACCCTGTATAAACTAAGTTTTTGTAATTTCATGAGGGGATAATAGGTTGTTATGACTATAATATAATATTTATGTTTTTTTTCTGAGAATATTAGTACTCTCTAATTATACTAAATAATATTGTGTTGGGCTGTACTGATGCATTTGAATTTATGTTTGTTTGTCACTTGGTAGTTGAATGCAGATGATTATAAATGATAAACTGAGAAAAATATGTGAAGATAAAAATCTAAGGAACCAATGATGCATTTACCCTTATGGTTATAACAAAAAATTGTAATTGAGTGTTACTAAATTTAGTTTTTACATTTCAATGATGAAAAATAGCTTAATGTGATTATAAAATATGATGTTGATTAGTCTTTCTGAGAATATATGTAATTACACTTAAATTCTTGTCTTATGCTGTGTGCATTTTAATTTGTTGTCATTTATACACATGAATGCATATGATTATGAATGATAACCTGAACACAATTTGTGAAGATATAAATCTAAGGAACCAATGATGCATTTACCCTTATGGTTATAACAAAAAATTATAATAGAGTGTTACTAAATTTGGTTTTTAAAGTTCAATGAGGAAAAATAGCTTAATGTGATTATAAAATATGATGTTGATTAGTCTTTCTGAGAATATATGTAATTACACTTAAATTCTTGTCTTATGCTGTGTGCATTTTAATTTGTTGTCATTTATACACTTGAATGCATATGATTATGAATGATAACCTGAACACAATATGTGAAGATATAAATCAAAGGAACCAATGATGCATTTAACCATAATTTCATGGACAAAATATTGTAATAGAGTGTTACTAAATTTGGTTTTTAAAGTTCAATGAGGAAAAATAGCTTAATGTGATTATAAAATATGATGTTGATTAGTCTTTCTGAGAATATATGTAATTACACTAGGGTGACCATAAAAATAAAATAAAAATACGGGACACTTTAGTTACTTAACTAAAAAAAAAAAGGAAATTCTAATTTTAACTAAATATATTAATATAAAAAAAAAACAAATTAAATGTATGCTGTATAATAGTTTTTAAATACAAATAAAATATTAATAAGTATAATATGTACACTAAAGTCCAAAAAAAAATTATTTTGATGACGATGGCACGTAAATTTCTTCTTTTGATGTTTTTGTATACTTTTGTGCTGAACCGATTTCATCAAGTAACCTAGTTTTTTTTAATAGAATATTATAAAACTCATTACAAGATAAGTTTTTAAAGTGTGTTTTTACGATTATAATTGATTTGATAGTCTCAACCAAAAATCGATTTTTTTCATCTGTCCACAACAAATTAATGGTTGAAAAAATCCGTTCTACTGCAGCATTTGTACCAGGAATTGCCAAAGAATATTCTACTATTTTTGATATGTTAGTTGTATCAATGTTATGAGCTTTATCTAGTGTGTTAACTTAAAATAACTTTAACTTACTAACTTATAATATTTCACATCACTTAACTTCTACTTTAGCGGATTTTTTTTGCCATTCATGAATTCGTGATTTAAAAATTTGTTCTATATGACTGAATTCATCAAATAAATTATCTTCATCTAATTTTATGTTAGAATTATTTCGGTTGTTTTCCATAAGAAATTTAATACATTTTTGAACATTTTCCCAAGTAGGACAGTTTATTAGTTGGACCCAGCGAAATATTTTCAACTGGTCAAAGTGGCAACCCCATGTTTCTACGTAAGATAAAAAAGTATTATAAAATAGATCAGTACTTTTTTTGAATGAGTTTTCATTATACATAGGTATTATTGTTTTTTAAATCATTTAAAAGCGATAAAATATTTGTTGAAGGAAGTTTAGAATAGACATTATATTTGACAACAAACTTGTGGCGGATGGAATTGTACTTATTTAGTAGATGACGTCACACATCAATATAATAATATTAATAACATTTTGTACGTTATCGTTATATCATTAGTATTTATAATCGTCGGTTTAACGTTGTCGATAATGATGTGACATTATTAGTTCTCTATTTTCAACCCGCAGCAATTATAATAATTTATTGTTAAGACAAGAATCTAAAAATAATGCTGATAAGTATAGATTAGATGTTCTATTGAATATTGTGATACAAAAATATCGTAGAATAAAAAAAAAAAAAATTATAAAATTATAAATTAACAATAAAGAGAAAAACGGGATTAATACGGGACCTACTTGAAAATACGGGACAAAATGCGTCCCGTATAACTTTTGTCGGGACAACGGGACACAAAGTGGAAAAACGGGACAATCCCGTATAATACGGGACGTATGGTCACCCTAAATTACACTTAAATTCTTGTTTTATGCTGTGTACATTTTAATTTATTGTCATTTATACACTTGAATGCATATGATTATGAATGATAACCTGAACACAATATGTGAAGATATAAATCTAAGGAACCAATGATGCGTTTAACCATAATTTTTCATGGACAAAATATTGTAATAGAGTGTTATTAAATTTGGTTTTTAAAGTTCAATGAGGAAAAATAGCTTAATGTGATTATGAAATATGATGTTGATTAGTCTTTCTGAGAATATATGTAATTACACTTAAATTCTTGTTTTATGCTGTGTGCATTTTAATTTGTTGTCATTTATACACTTGAATGCATATGATTATGAATGATAACCTGAACACAATTTGTGAAGATATAAATCTAAGGAACCAATGATGCATTTACCCTTATGGTTATAACAAAAAATTATAATAGAGTGTTACTAAATTTGGTTTTTAAAGTTCAATGAGGAAAAATAGCTTAATGTGATTATAAAATATGATGTTGATTAGTCTTTCTGAGAATATATGTAATTACACTTAAATTCTTGTCTTATGCTGTGTGCATTTTAATTTGTTGTCATTTATACACTTGAATGCATATGATTATGAATGATAACCTGAACACAATTTGTGAAGATATAAATCTAAGGAACCAATGATGCATTTAACCATAATTTTATGGACTAAGTATAGTAATAGTGTTACTAAATTTAGATTTTATAGTTCAATGATGAAAAAAAACTTAGTGTGATCATACAATATGATATTGATTAGTCTTTCTGAGAAAATAAGTAATTATACTTTAATTATTGTTTTGTGCTATATACATTTTATGTTTTCATTTTTTATATATTTTGCCGCAAATGATTATAAATGATAACCTAGGGACAATTTGTGAAGATAAAAATATAAGGAACCCTTAATAATCTTTAAGGGATAAATATCTGTTTTTTTTTTTTTTGATTAAATCATTTAATTGAGAATACCTATTAATTAAAACTTGGTTTAAGGTAAAACTAAAAAAAAAAAAATGTAGAATTTTTTCATCAGTAAATAGCGTTTAAAAATATAAATGTTGCACTTTAGTTCCTTTCCACTGTTGATGTTTAATAAATAAGAGTGTAACTTTGAATACCTAATCTACACATGTTTTTGGTATTTTGTTGTTGGCCGAATTTTGACATATTATTTTTTTTTAAGTTAAAAGTGTTCATACCTATTGGCTCTTAGTCAAAAATTGGTCTTTCTTAAATATTTTTTTTCGTATTTTAAATATTTTAAATTCAATATACATATATAAATATATATATATATATATATTTTTTTTTAATTTAATTAATATACCTAACAATAAGGATTTTTTAATGCATGGACCTTTAATTTTATGAATAACCTACTGCAACTAAATTTAGTTTTTGAATTTCAATGAGAAATAATTGTTTATTGTTATGATATTATCAATATTATTTCGACTGGAAAATGTTTTATATTTGTATATAACTTTGTGATGTGTATCAGTGGCGTAATTAAGTTATGTTTATGATGGAGGGGGATACCTCTCAATACAACTTTTACAAGCATATCTGTATTTAAATGATTAAATGTCACCAACTGCAACAGCATGAAGGAATACAAATTTATTATTACTTATGTGTAGCTTACTATATTCTATAAAGTTATACTATACTAATTTATAATATTATTTCCATTAAATAACTGTGTTATGACTTATGTTATATTAATGGTTTCAAAAATAGCCTATACTTGGTGTCTCATATAAAAGTAACTTTCTGGTTGGTAGCAGAATGTTGGAAATGGGTGTGGATAACACGTGCCAATGCTGACCTCTCAGCAACATCACTTTATTGTTCAAGCAACAATTTTTTTTTTTTTTTGATTAATAATTCTTATTTAGTTTTTCTTATATTGGAAGTGTTCAATGATGATTAATTGCATTTGTTGATTATAAAAAAATGATTTTGATTAGTCTTTCTGAGAACTCGGAATTTAAACTATTTTGCATTGACTATTTTGGCAATGTAATGTAGATAATGAATTTATTGTAATAATTAATTAAGTAGTTTGAGAATAACATGTTTAGTAAAATATTAAATTTTTTTCTATATTCTTATAATGGCCACATTTATTAATAAAATCTTTTAGGGTTGATTTATATAAATTATATAACATTGAATCAGTACCTATTGTTATGTAGATTACTAGTGTATTTAATATTTATCTTAAAAATATTAATATGATAAAGAAAAATATATTGTTATTGTGTATTTATGACAATTGACCAAAATTGGTTGATGAATGCGACATTCCGGATAAAAATACAGAGACAATCCTGCTATATTTTAATGTTAACCTTTACATATTCTGTCTTGTGTTAGTTAACGGTATATTTTAATTATATTTAATATGTTATTTCGTCATCTTCTCTATGAATTGAGCCTTATACTTATTATTTTTGTTTTGTAGAAACTCATGATGGTGTTCAAGATATGGCATGTGATACTTTTATCAAAATTGCAATGAAATGTAGAAGGTACTTTGTTCAAGTTCAAGTTGGAGAAGCTATGCCATTTATTGAGGAAATTCTTAATTCAATGGCAACAATTATCAGTGACTTGCAGCCACAACAAGTAATTATATATTAATAATTTTTGTTAACCAGACTTAATCTCATGAATGTTTATAATTTGATATCAAGGTGCATACCTTCTATGAAGCTGTTGGTATTATGATTAGTGCTCAAGTGAATTCTAAGATCCAAGAACAACTAATTGATAAATATATGCTGTTGCCAAACTTAATTTGGGATGATTGTATCAGTCAAGCTTCAAAAGTAATAATTCTATTTTTAATTTATGAATAACTTATATTTATTTGTTGTTATATGTTTTAGGATGTTGAAATATTAAAAGAACCAGAGTTTGTCAAACAATTGGGTAATATTTTAAAAACTAATGCTAGAGCATGTAAATCTCTAGGACATCAATATGTTGTCCAAGTAAGTGATTTTCTTTTTGATGGAATATTTTTATTTCTTTACTATAACATTTATGTATTATAGTTGGGTAGAATATACTTGGATATGTTGAATATTTATAATGTAATGAGTGCAAATATTACTGATGCCATAGCGACTAATGGAGATAGTGTTACAAAACAACCATTGATTAAGAATATGAGAGTTATTAAAAAAGAAACATTACGCTTGATATCAGATTGGATTTCTAGATCTAGTGATAATGCAATGGTATGTTAACTATTTGTAAAAAATGTCTCGTCAACTGTCTATTATGCAAGTCACTTTACAATATTTTATTTTTAGGTATTAGAAAATTTTATTCCTCCGCTTTTGGAAACAGTATTGGCTGATTACAGCAAGACTATGCATCCATCCGCTCGTGAACCAGAAGTTCTTAGTGCTATGGCAACAATAATTGACAAACTACAATCTGACATAACCCCGGCAGTATCTAAAATTTTAGATGCTGTGTTTGAGGCCACGCTTACAATGATAAATAAGGATTTTGAGCAATTCCCTGAACACAGAACAAATTTCTACCTCCTTTTACAAGTAAGCAATAAACTTAAATTAAAATAACTTTTTCTTTTCATATTGATTGTTTAACTTTTTTTCAGGCAATAAATAATCATTGTTTTGTTTCATTCCTGTCCATACCAGCTCCTCAGTTTAAATTGGTTTTGGATTCAATATTTTGGGCTTTTAAACATACCATGCGTAATGTTGCTGATACTGGATTATTGGTATGTTACCCAAAAGGAATTGACTTATATAATATATTAATTTAAAAAAGTTTTAATTAGAGATGTTTGGTATTTACTTTTTAAGAGACTACAGGATTGGGGATTATTTTACCCAAGAGTAGAAGTTTTGGAGGATATTACATAAAAATTGTTAAAATAAATCATTTCACAATTTATTTAAATATTAGTGTAAGACACAAACTCATTAAATACTAAGTTATTACTAATCAACCTATATATTTTAAAGTCGGTTTTATCGATTTTTAGTGCATAAACTTGCCTTGTGAATAGTCAGATTTCAATTTTTTTTTTTTATTTGAAAGAACTTGTATTTAAAGCCAAATAACTAGAAATTGTCTAAATATTTATTTAAGAACCCAGAATTCTGATTAGGTTTATGAGTAAATTATAAAATATATCATAAGATTTCGGTATTACTAGAAATTGATAAATATATTATCTTTGATCTGTTAACATAAAGGAAAAGAGTATAATGTATATAATTAAATAAACTTGATTAACTTTGTTGTTCTTGCAGATATTGTACAAATTATTGCAGAATGTTCAACAGCATAAACAAGCAGCCCAGAGTTTCTATGTATCATACTTTACTGATATCTTACAACATGTTTTTTCTGTTGCCACTGATACATCTCATACCGCAAGTAAGATTTATTCATAATAACTTTGTTAAGAGTTAAATTTCTAAAAGCGTTTTATTTAAAATTTTATTTTCTAGGTTTATTAATGCATGCACAAATCTTATCATACATGTTCAAATTAGTGGAGAGCGATAGGATTGAAGTTTTGTTAAGTGCTCCAGGTGCACCTCCTGATGGTGAAGTCACAGATAAAAATGTGGCCTATGTTCGTGATTTTGTAGCATCACTGCTAAAGACAGCTTTCCCTCATTTGGCTGATGCACAAATTGCTCTTACTGTACAAGGCATGTTTAATTTGAATCATGACCTAACAGCTTTTAAAGATCATCTTCGTGATTTCCTTGTTCAGATCAGAGTAAGTGATTACTAACAATATTTATTAATTTTCTATAGAACCTATAACATAATAGATAATATATCTTAAATTCAAGTGGACCTCAATTTTTTTTATAATTTTGAAAATGTCAAAACTTAAATGACAATTATCACTCTTGATTTGCTTGTTTATTAATCTTTAAGAGTATATGACTCATGTGTTTGTTGTCTCTGGCTCACAAATTTACGGCATAGCAAATTTTTTTACTAACTTTAATTGCGCTCTGTTAATTTTGATATTAGAGCGATTTTTTTAATATTTTAACGTTTATACAACAATTATATGGGTATTTGAATTATCACAAATTAAAAACACTCATATTATCTCCCTTGAAAATTAAAATAAATTAAAAGCATATACTTAAGCACTGATAATGTTCTTACCTAAAAATTTGATAATAGGTCAATTCACACTAATATCAAAACTCACTACACACAATCAAAACTAGTGAATTAAAGTTTAGTATGTCACAGGATTGTAAGACCGGAGACCACCAAATCTATTGGTAGTGTCTTCTAAACATAACGCTTAGATTTTAATTCTTAATTAAATTTTACTATCTGTTATCTTTTATAGTTAATATAATAACTTCCTCATTTTAAGTTTTTTGATAATCAAGTTTTACTAACATTTTGTATTTTGTGTTCATACTTATCTCGTGATTATTTTTGAAATATGATATTTTAAAAGATATTTTTGTTAATTATTATATTCAAGTCTTTTATTAAAATACATTTTGAGGTTCTTTGGTTAGTTAATCTTAGATACTATATTACAGTTTAGTTATTAATTCTTATTGATAATCATAATATAGTTACCTTAAGTTAAAGTGTTGGTAGAAGATTGTTAGAGTAAAGTATACTTTAGGTATATTATTGAGTCGACTGGAATGTACAAGTGTTCAAGCACAATATAACTTAATTTGTTCAAATTACCATTATAATTGACAAAATTATTTAATATTATGTTTTATTAGGAATTTACCGGTGAAGATATATCTGACTTATACCTTGAAGAAAGAGAACAAGCTTTGAGGGCGGCTCAAGAAGAAAAACGCGAAGTACAGAAGACTGTGCCTGGCATATTAAACCCACATGAAATCACTGATGATATGCAGGACTAAAATTACATGAATATCGCATCACATATACATCCATTGGTTTTGTTACATAGGGTTATTATTTTATTCTTAATCCATCCAATCAAAGCAGAACATAAGTTTTTTTTTAATAGCATGCTTAGGCGTTTATTCCTTATCAACGGTCTTTTTTGCTATAACTGATTAATATTATGTATATTTCAAAAACAAAATCTAAAATGTTTTTGTAAGTTAAAAAAGTTTTATATTAAAAACTGAAAAATTGACTGGCTAAGAATATATGTTTAAGTTATGACTTACTCTGGTATCTACAGCTGCTGTGGCTGTGGATTTTTAAGCCCACCAATTCTATTTATTTAGAGAAACTACTACTTAGTAAGTTTTTTTGTACACACCTAAACAATAATAAAATAAAATCAACATATATATATATATATATTAACATGTATTTTATATAATTTAAACATAAATAATATTTATATATATGTAAGCATAAATTATACTATATATATATATATTATGTTCAAAGTTAAATAAACAGGAAAATAAAATCGTAAAAAATCTAATGGTTTGATATTTGTAATTGTAAATAGTTCAGTAAAACATGTGAATCAATTTTTTTTTTTTTTTTGTTTAAATTATTACAAAGTATGGTTGGGAAACAATTTGTAGTATGTTAAAGTTATACAATTAAATAATTAAACAAGTTTTATATTTAAAAAAAAAAAACCCAATTGTAAAAATAATTGTACAAATTTTTTCTTTACTATTTTTATATGAAGTGAGTTGGAGAACTTAATCTAGCAGATTAGTATTAGATTTTTTTTTTGTTATCTATTATTCTGTTAAGTTCACTGTAATTTGTTCCCGATTAGGTTCTAGATTTATTCGCATTTAATAAAGTTATACTGACATCTTTTTAACAAATTGTGTATTAATTAAATCTAATACATTATATTGTATACTGTATTCATCTAAATGTTATTGCTATACATTTAATTATTTTTTCCATCCTAACAGTTAAAAAGTATTTCATCACTAATTAGCGTGTCATATTACTATACTTTATTCAGAATAAGAAAGGTACCGAGCGGTAACCAGTTTTTGTCTGGCTGCATCTCCCACCAAGTCAACTACTAGGTTTGTAATTCGGAACAAAACCACACCCTTTTACACAAGTCGATAGCCCGGTACCTTTCTTATTCTGAGTAGAGTATATTATATTAGTTATTATTGGTTATAAGTTTTAACTATTTACTTATTAAATTAGAGATTACATTTAACGCTATTGAAAGTGTTATCTATTTTGATTTGTATTTTATAAATTGATATATCATACAAAATTTGGTATAAAATAAGTGTTAAATTTACATAATTTCCATGTTTTTAGTGTTATCTACTGCAAGTCTTGTAACGACTTATTAATAATTAAACTACTTTATTGCCTCATTTTGTAATTAAAGTTCAATACCAAATGTTACACTGAGGTGTAAAGCTTGCAGTGGTTTTGAACTGTGTTTCACCTTCAATCTTGGTTGATTTTCCATTGGTATACTTCCGCAAAAATAGCATTTTGATTGCTATAATTAAATTTTTAGTAATCAAATATAACAATTTATGTAGTCTACCTTAAATAATTTTGTTTAAGGGGCCTCGCAATGGCATTGATTTAAGGAGAATCATTTAGGCAATTTCTAATCTCGTCGTCGCCACCCGAGATCTATGTGTTAGTCGTAAATGATTATTAGTGTGGCGTCCATGCGGGTCAATTGTAGTGGTGCCGAGGGCTCTCGCACGCACTCGCACACACATGTCAATATATAATAATATTGTGATCATGAAAAAATGCTTATTAGTTATTTTTCACTTAAACATACGATTCTAATTCCAACAGTACGTCGCAACGATTACCTCGATTTTCATTCTGACAAAATATTCTTATTTTCCACAACATGTACGAGGGATCGATCGAGGCACATTTTTAAAATTGTATTTAGTTAATTAAATATTTAAGTTGGAAATTCTGTATTTTTTTTTGATTTTTTTACAATTTTTATTGCAATTTAAATTACAAAAATTAAAAATGTGGCTCGATCGTTCCCTTGTATATATTACGGACAATCAGAATATCTTTTCAGAATGAAAATCGTGATAATTGTAGACACGTATCGTTGGAATTAGAAACAGTAGTTTTTGACAAAAGAAAGACTTGGTAGTGAGGCCCCTTAAAGTACAGGTAAAATGTGACATAAAATTATACAGAGTTTTTTTCTACTGAAAGGTGTCTTATTATTATTATTAATTACAGCCTTCTTTTTGTAAAAAAAAAAAAACACTACTTCTAGGTTAAGTGTTAAGTAAATAATGTATAGGTTTTACAACTGTGATGAGTGTGTGATTCACTTGCATATAGTACCTAATTTAAATTACATAATCTGAAAATTATAATATTTTTAAAACCAATAATTTATTGCTTCACTCGAATTAAAATGTTTATCATACATATTGTTATTATTAGGGCTGGGATTTCGATGCACTTTGCATTGTTTTCCAAAGCTTACTGTGCAATGCTCGTCTTGTCAACAATATGTTTCATGTACTTTTGAATGGGAATAAGAATGTTTATTTTGCATTTTTTGGAATTTTTTAGTTTTTAGGTCATTTTCTTAATTTTTTAGGGCATCTTAGAGTGGTTGGAGCATTTTTTGAGTTTTTGGAAACAAAGGATGAATTCGATATTTTATTTCAAGATTTTTACACCAACATGGTGTAAAAATTTTTTTTTTCAGATTAAACGAAGTAGGTACAAGTCTATGAGATTTAGCTTTGCATGCAACTTTTTTTTTAGATTTATACTAACACTATGTATTTACACTTGTAATATATTTTTATGATGCATTTTTTTTAAACTTTTTATTGTAATTCGTATAATTTTATTTATACCAAAATTATTAAAAATAAACATTTTAGTAGTGCATAATTTATAGTTTTTAGGTCATAAAAGTATTTTTTAAGTGCATTATTTACAGTTTTTAGGTTATTTTTCGGGGTTTTTAAGGACATTAAAATCACAGCCCTAGTTATTATATTTTTACGAGTATTCAGATAATACTTTCTGAGCTCAATTTTATTTGCTATTGAAAATTAATAACTTAATTGGAAAATATTATATATTTTTAAAGTTTACCATAAATTCTGATTCATATTTAGAGCTCTTATTCATGGGAGTTTTATCATGCATGTCCATAATTTTTGAAGATGTCCGTACACAGTTTTGACTTTTATGTTTTGCTAAAAAGAAAAAAAAATAGTTAAATCTATTATTTCAGACATGCTAAGAATAAAGATACAAACTCTAAAATGTATTGTGAAGAGACTGATAGGTTTGATACATTTTTTGTTACACTTAATTGTAAAAGTTATAAAATAATAAACCAAGAGTCACTTTGACCATTATAACCCCTTAAACTTAAGAGGACGCTACACGGCCATTTGTTGTCTTTGTTTTCCAAGAGCGTAACATACCAAATTTACGCTCAGAAGAACGCGTTTAGCTTCGTTTAAAAATTAGAGTGAATCGACCTATTATGAAACTTGATGGTATGTACATTATCTGTGCTTGGATGTGGGTTTTTAGAATATTTCAATTTTTTAGTAAGTTATGAGTATTTATATAGCGTAAACGACGCCATAAAAAAAAAACTGGTATAGGATATAATGTCTACAGGCCACACGGTGTCAGGACTGATCACATATTTTATTTTATAAACAAACATCGTTTGAAAGCTTAGAAGATTCTGATGAAACAATACTGTCTAGATCGAATCAATATAAAATAATAATATATTTATTTCTTTATCTATTATCAATATTCAATAGTATTCGCCGCTTCTTTTAAAATTAGGCGAAAAACCGAAATTATAGATATATAATATTACAATGTGAACACCTCTTGTAACTAGCCAAAAATGATGTGGTACCTATGTGAGTGAGTGATTAGTGGAGTAGTGAGTAATGACTGAAAAGTGAAAATAAATAAAATATTATGACCGGCATTAGTTGCAAAAAATTATACACTGATGTTCGGACACTGTACTAAAATACTAAAAAGTGATTACTATTACTGATTTTTGAATGCTGATTAATGGCTAAAAAATTGTTATTATCTCCCAAGGTTTTTAGATTATATTTAGACTACAACCTAAAAATCCTATAATTGCCTCCCCATTTAAAGTTATTGGTGAAAAACAGTGATAACTGATAGCAAAACTTGTAACAACAACGTTGCACTTGTTACGGAAGTTGCGTTGGGTGCAGCTCCGTAACACTTGCGTCTAGCTGCACCCAACACAACATAATACACATTACCAGCTGCTGCTTTTTGAAACTATCGTGAGATAAAACGACTTATATTTTAAAAATACTAGAACATTTACTGAGCTTTCTGTTTAGTAGGTAATTAGTAATAACGAATAACGTGATATGCTAACACCGTGGTCAGTGTCGGACTGCCTCGAAGAGGCCCAGTCCGCGATTTGGAAAAAAGGGCGGCCCCCAACAGGCAAATGGAAAATGATTTAATTAGCCCAGAAAAAAAAGCTCGCTTTTTCAGCTTTTCAGCTCAAAATCCTATTTGCATGTGCTTACATAGAACATTTTTTTTATTACAATTGCAATCTTGCATATTTATCATACAGCCATACAGGCACAAATAACTAAATATGTACCTTACTAAAATTCAATCATTCGATATATTAACTGGTTTTACTTTATTTTCAACATAGAATTTATATTGAGCATATTCTCAAATACTAAGACAGGTCCTAAGTAAATTGACGATAATAGAGACCCATCGGACTGTTTTATTATCAGACAGGGGAAATCCCTCCTGTCCAAGCATCCAACCCCCAAATTACGCCTGTGACATCAAATATTATAAAGAAAAACACCGATTCAAATTGTGCACGAGTACAATATTTATTATACTTAATATCCAAATATAATATAATAATCACGGTCTTAGAAGATATCAGTTATAATCAGTGATAATGCGAATACCAAGCATACGCCAGTATAAATATAATATAGGTAATATTAAGAGAACGTTGCACCAGCATGTGTCTCTCCGTCTTACAAATGTACTACATAGGAAAAACTGTTTTGCTCGGGAAGGAACTAAGATCTCTACAGTCATAACTAAGAAACGAAATTTTCAATTCATAGAGAACTTTGGCTGTGCAATATCGTTTTTATTTTTTCGTTATCGGAACTTCAAAAAAAGTTATTTAAAGTTTGAAAAAAACAAATAATAATGGATTTTGAAACAATAAGAACATTTTTCGTATACCTAAGTGATACCACAACAACAAATATGATATTTCACAGTCAAATATATATAGGTCGATATATGGGAGAAATTTGGTGAAAATTTCGTTTCTTAGTTATGACTTATGAGTTATGACTGTACTGTAGTCTTCTCGGTTCTTTCCCGCGCCAAAACGTTTTTGCTATGCCGTACGTGTGTAGACGGAGACAACATAATATGCAGGTACGATGTCCTCTTAATAGTCACAACAACTTTACACTATTTATAATCAGTAATACATAATATTTGTATATATAGGTAGTCAGCTAAATTCGTAGAATGAAAATATCATTATTTTAATAACTATTAGGTAAGAACTTCTCAAGATTCAAAACAAAAATACTTTTCCTGATTTGAAAAAAAAATGTTTATTTCGTACTTCTATTTACTTTAAACCAGCGTTTCTCAACCTTTTTTCATTTACGTACCCCTTGAACTCTCACCACTGCTTTACGTACCCCCAAATGTCAATTTATTATATATTCACACACAACACAAATAAGATATTATGAAATAAGTTCGATGATGGAAAATTTTAAAATAATATTTATTAATTAATTTAATAAGCCATACAGTGTACGTATATAATATATATAAAAGTAATATAAATTTTACAATTTAATTTTGATGAGACCCTTAGGTTTGTTTGCTGGCACATAATTTTGTGAAATCTGGCTCCTTGGATGATAAGTAAACTCGTAAATCTGAACTCACAGAGAGTCTATTACGATCCTTATTTTTAATGTACGTGTACGACGAAAAGACCCTCTCCACCAATACAGTACTCGAGAACGGCAGCAGAACATTAAATGCTTTGTTTGAAAGCTCAGGATACTCTTCTTTTACGTCAGCCCAAAAAGCGATGAGAGATTTTTTTTCAAATATTACCTCAAGTGAAGAATTCGTCTTCAGTTCAATAAGTTTTTCTTTTGGTTAAAATGGTTAATAGATTTTTAATAGACAAATGATTGACATTGTATTGAACAACTTTACGTAACCCGATAAGATAAAATCCAGTGTCCAGCATTGCTGTGCCACATTATTAAATATTTCACAAATTCCAAACCATTTAAAATACCTACACTAATTGTAATTTTTTCCGATATTACGCTTTTTTTTCACGTACTCCCTTATACCTTCAGCCTTCTTACGTACCCCAGGCTGCTTTAAACGAATAATAATAATAGTAATAGGTACAAAATCAGGGCCCCCAATTACCACAAATAAACCGGGGCCCCGTCCGGGCCAGTCCGACTTTGACCGTGATAAACGAACATGTAGGTATCTACCGATTTTTATTTCTTCGTACAATCTAGAATCTAGATGTCAATTAGTTTTATAAAAGTATTGTCACAATTCACAAAGAGAGTAAGAGACTCATACAATCTTACGTACCTACCAATCGGCAACCATACGCGCAAATGGGGAGGATTTGGGGTCCAAGCCTAGCCTCCTTATTCGATATTATAATAGTAGGATTTCAGGCTTCAGCCTCCCCAAATCTCAAACGTTATTTGTGCCTATGCTACCTACCCAAACATAATTTATTTTAAGAAATATTCTTGAATCGTATACAAATATGATATTTTCCGACAATTTTACTTACTCAAAACTATAAAAATGTGAAATATGGCACTTTCCCTAAAATATAACGAAATATGCAAAAATATGAAAATTCAAACATTTGTATTTAATTTAGACATTTAATAAATTTATAACTTACCTAGAATAATCTACAAATAGAATACCCTACAAAAAAACATGCACGTGCAAGAAGTCCCAAACCCTACATATTAAAAGTTATGAAAATTATGAATTAATAGGTACACAACTATCCTAGATCCACTATACAGGTCCAATTTTGATATTATGTTTTATGTTTTTTTTACTTATTAGGTTGAATTCGTCTTCGTGTTCGTCTCCGTTTGCAGTACGATTATGATGGATGGGGTTTTTAATTGGGGTACTATTTTTCATCCTCTCGGAGTAACTTTTATCCCAGTCTTTGTAAAGAGACATAGATAGTGCACTGATGTTGTTGTGTTTTCGGTCGTATTCAATAAGCTTTTTCAAATCTAAAATATCATAGTGATAGTGTGCATAATATATTGTCAGTTACATCAAGTTAAAATATAAACCAGTAACCTATAGGTACCTAGGTGGGTACCTACTTTATTTTACCTGTACCTACTCTGCTGTTAACCTCCTCAACTCCCAAAGTTATATTATATTAATTATTATATATTTGTATGGAGAATCTAGGACATTTTATTTTCTAAAACAATCCAACCCAACTACCCCCCCCCCCCCACTAATTTTATTTTTCTCATAGTCTAGCTGTTAGTCATCGATATATCGATATATATGTATAATAGTATTCGAATATATATTGATATGGTTAGAGTATGCACTACGGTATTATACCTGCAGTACGTGCATAATTGTCGAATAAGTACAAGTACATTTACGTACCTATAATACGTATACGTATACGTTTATACTTTATGCGCATTTAAAACGTGGAATGTACTCACACATTTTTCAAAGAATCGAAACATTTTAAACAAACAATAAATGATTTAATCAGAAAATATTCTGAACTTGAAATTAACTGACAATATTTACCTTTTACGAACTCATTTAGCAGAATGGGTTCTATTTGCGTGTACCCCAAGATGTCTAAGTGTCTTTTTACCTCTTCTGAGTCAACTTCCATTTTTTAATTTGAACTCAATACCTTGGTATGATAATATTCTATTATTATGTTATGTGTGTTTAAATGTGTAATATCTACATTAAAACAAAATATTGTCAAGGTTACAGAGTAATACATTAAAATAATTGCGATATCTAATTTGAAGACCAATAAAGTATAAGCTGATAACAAAATTATAAAAGCATCGAAAAACGTTTTGAAAAATTCACGAATGGTGATCATCGTAGGAAAAAAAATTAATCGGAACCGTGCATAAATTATTATATTACCCCTCCCCCCCGTATAAAAATTAAATATTGATAAAATTACATTAATTTCGTTCGCAATGGTCTTCCAAGCGTGCTGCGTGTTCGAATTGTCGATTTTAGGTTACCATTTTAAATAAACAAAACGTATTAAAATATAAGTTACTTATAATAGTCAAATAATAATTCAGTCAGAATAAATAATATAAACGAGTCCAACTCGCGCACGAAGGGTCCCGTACCATCATCAGCTATGTAGGCAACACTACTTATATTATATATTCTAGGATTTTTAGTATTGAGGAGAAGTAACGCTAACGCGGTTCTCTCCTGTCCCCTCGATTAACTCGAAAAAAAAGGACTTTTAATTTTTGTTGTTATAGCATCCACGGAAATACATAATGTGTGAAAATTTCAACTTTCTAACTTTCATGGTTCATGAGATACAGCCTGGACGGACGGACTCCGCGGAGCCTTAGTAATAGGCTTCCGTTTTACGTTTTACCATACGGAACCCTAAAAATGGTACACAATGGAGTTCGGACTAATTAAAACGTGGTTTTTATGGCTTTTACGTTATTCGGGAGTTACGTAAAACGGAATACGGAGCGCGATGAGTTGGTGACGACGTACGTCCGAAAAAGTGAGAGAATTCGACAGTGGTCGTGTCATGTAGGCAGTAGTACGCGCAGTATACAATATTAAAAGAAGAGGGGCGCGCAGCTTGGGGCGGCTGGCGCGTTGACAAATCACTGTTGTGGGTCTCCACAATAATATGGATAATATCATAATATCTATGGAACAAAACAATGGATGTTATCTATTTTAATTTTTATATTTGAATATTGAATATAATCTAACAAAATTGCCACTTGCGTGAGTGAGAAACTGCCTTCTCTCTCTTACTTAAAAGACCGCGACCACGTCTTGCGTTGTATGATTTAACATGGCCTATCCATTCTTCTATTATCTATGAGAAAGGGTATAAATGCAATAACCTTAAACCTTGTATATTTCAACCATGGGGTAAATATACATATTAAGAAATCGTTACAAAATATAACTAAAGAAACTGAACATCGAACTCTGATCAAATAGGTAGTTGTTTATATCTAATATGAAACTAACATTATTTTTCAAACAATTCTTTTTTAAATTATCACATATAAGTGTCATATTGTATAAATTAGTTAGGGTAATTTGGACTAAATTTTTTACAAAATACCTGTGTACCCAAATAATATTTATTAGTAATAACTTATTACCTATATTATATGATATATTACCTACATCTTTTATTGGATAATTTTTTTTAACATAAATAAGATTTTGGGCTGGAGACAAGACTAATTTTTGAAAGGTTTTCATTTTTAAAATGCTATGGTTACTTATTAACAAAATTCATATTTATGATTCATTGATTTTTCTTGTAGAGAAAAAATATCGAGTACCTAGTGGCTATGGTTTTTTTTTTTGCTAACTGAACCTTGACTAACATTTTTTCCATGTTTATTTTTATTATCTATATAATGAATGCAACTATCATATTAGTGGATATTAACTGTGGCAGCCATGCATAAACCATAATATTATGATACAAAAATATTTAAATTATTTTCTTGTGTAGGTACTTTTTTTTTTTTTTTATTTATTTTTTTTATTTTATTAGAATATTTAAAATCTATGCTACAAGGCATAATAAGCAAATTTGATCATACATACAATTTTTTTACAACCTGAACACATGAGTAGGGAGGCCATCCAGTGATAGAACCCAACTTTATTTTAATTATTTATTAATTATTAACTTAATTTAACTCAATATAAATTAAATTAAATTAAAATTAAATGATATGAACCATCAATTATTTAATAAATCACTACACCAATTTCTCTTAAAACGGCGTGGGGGATTACTAGGAAGTGAGTTGGAAGCAAGTTCAGCGATTAAAGGGTTAGAGTGTCATTGTAATTTAGAGTGAAATTTTTTATAATGTTTTGTGGCTAATTGATTTACTGTTTCTATTTTGAAGTCATTTTGGAGTGTGGAATTTGATACTTACCAAGGCGCGGAAGAGATAATTCGGAGAGTGATACATTGGAAGGCTTGGAGGGTACGTATTTGAGATGGTTTAGCGCATCCCCAGATTTGGATAGTATAAGCCCAGATAGGCCGTAATAAAGATTTGTAGATGATTATTTTTGTGTGGAAGGGTAATTTTGATTTCAGAATTGGGCGAAGTAAGTGGAGTCGACTATTGAGAATTTTTCTTTTTGACTTGATATGAGGACTCCAGGTCAATCTTTTGTCAATTAGGACGCCGAGGTATTTTACTTCTGAGGATATTGGGATTTGTATTCCTTGAAAATAGAGGGGAAGGGGTATGGACTTTTTTAGTGTAAATGGGACATAAATTGATTTGTCAGGATTAATTTTGATTTTCCAGTTGGACGACCATTTGTCTATTAAGTCTAAATGTGTTTGTAAAAAATGTACAGTTTCTACAGAATCATTACCAGGTGAGAGAATTGCAGTGTCGTCAGCATAGGTGGCCATAACAGTATTTGGGGTTGTAGGAATATCAGCCGTGTAAACATTAAATAAATCGGGAGAAAGGTCACTTTACCTTGTGGAACTCCTGCTTTAATTGGGTAGAATGACGAGACAGAGTTACCATACCGGACTGTGTAAGTACGGTTTTCTAAATATGAACATATCATCAAAAAGTACGGGGCAGGTAAGAACATTTTTAATTTAAAGAGTATACCCTTGTGCCATACCCTGTCAAACGCCTGGGCTACATCTAAAAACACTCCCGGGCAATATTGCTTTTTTTAGTAGGTACTTAATCACGAAAAAATACAACATTTAACCATTGTTGTATTGGATATCAATTGGTGGGTGGTCTGGATGTTTTTTTAATCATTTTTGATATTACCCCTTCTTGCACCAAGCTCGAAGCCACAAACTTATACACTTATTCAAAAATGAGAGGAATTATTATTAGATAACCTGAATCATAACCGAAGTTTAAAGTTGCACCCGTTCAGTGGGGCACATTATTTTTTTGAAGAAATAAACAACAATAAACAAATAACAATCTGATGTAAGCTCTTACGGTATATTAAAAATGTACAACATTTTAATTATTATACCTAAACATAATATATAAACAAACAATTCACACATTTTCAAAAGACAATGGTTAAATAAAAATATTTAAATGCATTTAAGATCTTTTCATTGTTGTCGCCGTTTTCGAGGAATTTGATTTTATAACATTTAAGGTTCAATATATTATTTTCTGATAATTGTCTTAAATATAATCTCTTCGTTTTCAAAACGATAGTTGATAACTCTCCTTTTTTAATAACATTACTAAAACCACACAAAAAAAGTAATTAGTAATAAGTTGTTTTTTTTTCGTTGTATTGCGTTGGACAGGACATCACCTAAATTGACGTTATCACTATCGCTCTCATTTTCCGTGTCTGTTTTATTTTCGTGATATAATTTTTCGTACTTGTTACTCCATTTGCAGGTGGCGATTATCGTTAAAAGCGCAATGAAAGCGAACATGAAGAACATGTTGGACTGGTTTCAAAACACACTAGACATATTATTTTGGTCTTATGGGTACAAATTAAAGGAAATAAAAATTGACTACCTACTTTCTTTTCAAACGCTACAAATTTGTTGATGAAAATTACAATCAAATTCCCGAGAGCCACGCAAAAATACCACATAGATATTGACACGGTTTTCATCGATTCGGGAGTCTGTGGAAAAAGTTCGGTAAATACAATTATTTGTGTAGTTCCTGCAAAAAGAGCAATGGATAATATGCAAAAAAACAGCGCTTTTTATGGACGTTTTCCCATCCACCCCGTGCCGCCCTTGCCATTAATCAATACGAAACAAGATAAATATTTTTAAAGGATCAAGTATTTTATGAATTTAAAATCAAACGACAAATGTAAACTTATGATGTCCATTCTATATATTTCAAATAGACTGTTCTAATTTGTTGTTCGTAAGTTTATCTTGTATACATATTATTACCTAATTATTATAACAGACAAAGAAAAAAATTTAAAAAATAGAACTAACAAGTCCCTTGCCCCCTTAAAAGGGTGCAACGTTTAATTTGTCTTTATTTAAGACTGTTGATTTAGGTTTATGAATTTAACAATCGCTTATCATGTGTAGGTATAGGATATTAGGATGGTTAAGGTCTTAAGGATAGCTGAGTTACAATTGAATTGAAATTGATTTTACTTTTTTTTTCACTTATTTTTATTTACTTCTGAGAAAGAAAATGATAATCCGGTCATGGTAAACAATGTCTCACCGAATGTCATGCAAATGAATTGAGGTAATAACCACTCTTTACTTAAAACGCGGGTCTGTACAACTGTATTTGATTGTAATTTCTAAAAATATTGTTTAGGGTATTAAATTATTAAAATATGTATAGAAATCATAGTGATAATAGGACTTATAGGTTATAATACATACAGAATTAGTTTTATAATCATGTTCATTTCTATATGTGTAAATACGATTGGTTTCAAGATTCAAGACATTCCTTGATATCGGCTGCTGTTTTTTATCCTTATAATGTATCGTCAGCGTATACCTTAAAATAGCATTTATAATATATTTTTATATTTTTAAAAATTATTTGTAGTAAATAATAAATACAATGTATTGATAATTATTATATAATAGGTATAATAGCCAATAGGTTATAATGTAAACACCTATATTAGTTATTAAGAATTTGAACTTGCCACTTGATAGCAACTAACAAAAGAAATAAAGTAGCAACATTGAAACTTACACAGTAAAATTGTATTATCAAAATTCCACGATGTCTGTTGTACCTATGATTAAATATTTTATTTTAAACATTTCGTAAAATATTTAAGAATTTATTAGGTGTTTAGTTCAGGAAATAAATAATTGTATGAAATTAGGTAACAAGAACTCCTATCCATTCTAATCTGTTTTTGTGCTATTATTTAAAATTGTGTTGTTTCAAGTTACCATCACAAATAACCCCATGGTCTTATGTCATACCTACGCCATGTATATGTGAGTGTTCATATTTTAAAACATAATCTTGCATAATAAAATTACTTGGTAAAACCACATGTACTTACAAACCAGCAGGAATTTTTAAAACTGTATTATTTTGAAATTGAGAAACGGGATATTGTTCTACCTCGAAAATCGTTATCTTATTATTAGACATGGACTCAAGTGTTAGTTTTTTGATGTGTAACCATATTCTGCTGTCTTCATTTAATGGAACAATTATACTGATACAAAACAAATTAACCAAATGAAATAGGTATATAAGTTTTTTTTGAATAATTTTTCATAACTTTACTGTATTAAATATGAATGATTTTTATTTGAAGTCATGTATACATTTTCCGGCACAAGCACAACTGAAGGCGGGTTTAATAAAGTGTTATTCTCTTTAAATAAACTATTTTCCATTACTAATATAATTGATTTCTAAAAATATTATACACACACAACACAATATAATATAAGCAATTTAATTTTAAAGAGTATACATATTCTATTATAAAAATGGATTCTTTTAAAGGTTAACATTTTATTAATTTTTATTTTTATCATTGTAATTTGTTAGCTTTTATTTTTTCGAATGACAAAATTTTTTTTAATTACTTATTCCTAAGCAGGATATTTTTTCTGAGAATTTTTATTTATAAATATTTATTTAATTAGTATTAGTTCTAGGTAGGTAGGTACGCATTTTAAGTTTATACTTTATAGATAAGCGAAGTAGAGTACCAAAGTAGTTACCTTGCTAAATGGTGTTATACTGCTCTGCTCATAGAAATTAATAAATACAAAGTATGCTGCCATTCAAAAAAATAAAAACTTAAAAACTGATAATTGATATTTTTAAAAAAAATTCAAAACATTCTAGATATTACGTTTTGCATTTTTTTTTACACATTTTGACAACCAAATCAGTAGTTTTAACTCCTTAAAATAGTTGCATTAACATATTATAGTTATGTAGTTGTAACTATAATTTTATGAAGTTAATTTAACTAAAATTAATAGTTACTTAGATTATTCTAGGTCATTGTACCTTAAGATAAACGTTAAAACAAATGGTTGGTGCTAACCATAGGTGAAAATTGGGGAGGGGGTACTAAGCCCCCCAAAAACCTAGGACATACAATTTTAATATGCTATATTGCAATGGTCTGCTTGTCTTTATAATATTCAGCCCCCCAAGTCAAAAGTTGAAATTGCGCCTATGGTGCTAACTACACAGCGTAGTCAAATCAACACTCCTTGGGCCCCGAATGAAATTTAACGCTCAAATGTGTATGGAATTGACTTTAAGACTTTAAGTTATTTATAAGTTGTTATACTTAGGTACTCAAAACAACCTCATAGTTTTATGTGTGATAATGAGTGTTAATTACTAAAAATATCGACTTGTAAATCTATAAAGGGTATATCTTATGCCATTGTAAGCGGGGTTTTTTAATAATTATGGATCGATGACATAGAAATATAAAATTTAGTTAAAACGAAAAAAGACGTGTTTTTTTATTTTTAACAGGCAATTTTTCTATAACAATTTCAAAATTTTTAAGCACGCAGGTATACCAATAGTAAAATCAATTTTATTTTTTCAAATGGTTACTAAGTACTACATTTTTTAATGAATTCTGATAAAGCTTTTTTTTCTGAAAATTGTTATAGTCAAATCATCAATTTTGGTTCTCTAGTTTATTAACTATGGTCCTCTAAACTTTAGAAAATATGCATTTATACCTTTAATTGAAATAATTGGTATACGTTTAATTTACAAGAGCTAAATAATTTTTTTCTTATAATTAACTTTTATAACTTGAAATTTGAACCATAAGTTTCCTATATTGGTAGGTATCACATTAAAAGTATGAATTTAGCAGTTGAAATTCTTTAAGAATTATTTAATAATTGTGATTTAAAATAAACTATTTGCAAAATATTTAGATAAATAGTCAATCTCAATATAGGTTTGTACTTACTACTTAGTACCTAACTTGGCCATACTTTTAATCGGAGTTAATTACAGATTTACAATAGTATTATAACAAGAATCAATTAATATTATTAGGTATTACCTTAGTCCTTAAAAACCTAATAAAGAATCCAAATTAATGCTATTATAAAAAAAGTAACAGTGAAGTAATTAATTACGATTATCCATAATAACAAATTAAAATAATAATACTGATTTTGATGATTGTATGTCAAAATAAAAATAATGAGCTATGTTGCCAACAATTTTGTTTGTTTTTTTTTTTTTTTTTGATAGTGTCATTAGAGTACCCATTAAATTACTTAAGTGTATAAAAAGGTAGTTATATGAAAAAATCATTTAGCTCTTGTAAATTAAACCTATACCAATTATTTCAACTAAAAGTATAAATGCATATTTTCTCAACTTAGCTAATAAACTAGAGAACCAAAATTGATGATTTGACTATCAAAGTTTTCAGAAAAAAAAACTTTACCAGAATCCATTAAAAATATAGTAGTTATCATTTGAAAAAATAAATTTGATTTTGCTATTGGTACACTTGCGTGTTTAACAATTATGAAATTGTTATAAAAAAATTGCCTGTAAAAAATAAATAAACATGTATTTTTTCGTTTTAACGAAATTCTATGTCATTGATCCAATGATTAATCCAATGATTAATCGTTAAAAAAACCCGCGTTCAATGACATAAGATACACTCTGTATACATAATATATTATAAAGAAGGGTAGGTATATCACAAGTCCATCCCTACTCACATAACTTTGAATAATGTCTTTTGCGTTACCCCATTTAATAATAATAAGCAACATTGACTATACTTTAATTTCACATTAGGCGTACCTACTTTAAATATATTTTTGTTTTTTATAAATTGTTTCCTTTTTCTTTTTGGGATTCGAATTCTTATAGACTTGTCATTTATACATTCTCGTGTTCTAATATTATCTAATATAAAATATCCGGTTTCGTTAAATTTTTGGAAGCCTAAATTCGATGCCCATACGTTCGCTAAACACGGTTTTGTGTATGCGTCATAGTATGCATTTGTATTATGTATATTTCTATCTTGAATATTTTCCTATAACACAGTAGAATTCAAATTATATATTATTAGTTAAATAAAAATACGATTTGCCAATATAGTTTTTCAGAATAATATTATACTATCACCTATGTACGTAATTCACACACCTCTAAACACATTTCGAGGCATCCTGCAAAAATAAACGCTATACCAGCTATACTACCACCAAGCAGCATTCGTTTTAGAGGAAACTTAAACAGTTTATGACTCTTCAAATAAGGGTAAACTATACGGTCCATAAATGGAATAGTAAATAGCACGAGCAAGGGATTTATCACTTGTAGCATGTACACTGAAAATGGTAGACCAAACAAATGGTCGCTTGTCCGCGATGCTTGAAAAATCCAAGTTGTGTGCTAAATCAATACATAGCTTATACAATTAATATGGATACGACTTACACGATTTGTTTATTATATTAACTTGTTGATCGAATAAACTCCAAAATATTGACAAAGGTATGTAAAGACAGAGCATGTGTAAAGTTTTCTTCGTGTCATTTATGATATCGTTTGGAAAAGAAGTTTTTCCCATTTCTAACCAATGTTCATTTTTTGTCTCCTTGCAGGGTGATGTTAATTGTTTCCACAGAGAGAACTGTCAACAATTCAACAATGACATACAATATATATTATACTGTAGTTTTGCAAATGAATTTCGATTTTCGGAAACTGGTATTTTTTTATTAAAATTTTTGAATATTATTTGAAAAAGTATACTCACCAAAATACATTTTATCATTTTTGGTAGAATATTAGGTAACGATTTTCTGAATAAGTAATATGGGGTTCCGCAAACAAATACACCTAAAAAAAAATTGCTAATATTTTACACTAAATGTTATATTGTAATGTTTTAGTCATAAAAATTACATTTTTATTTGAGGAAAACAGAAAATTGTATTAATGTATAATAATAATCTATATTAAAGGACATCACAACACTACTTTTTTTTTAATTTTAAGTTTATTGGTGTATTATAAGTCCAAATTATGAAAATCTTTTTGGTAAAAGTCTGAGTTGATGAATAGCAGAGTGACGTCATAGAGCCGACGTGTGAGCAGCCGCCCATGTTTTACGTGTAAAAGTAGTTTGATTTACACAATGATTTTAATAACTAATGATAATATTTCAGATTTTTTTTCAAAACCCTAAGTACATTTATTTGTTTAAGACGATGGTGTGATTTAAAATTTAATATATCTTGTTATTGTACACAATATATCGTCGATGATACGACAATATTACGTATATCGATTTTTTTTTAAATGAGTTTTTGGTAGTTATCAAAAGTTTTATAACGTCTTTGCGATAATTTATATAAATAACAGTAATAATCTACAGTTGTAATATTATGCATTATAACTAAGTAAAATTATTGAGTTCTGTACTCGCGTTGTAGGTATTGCCGTATTAACCAAATTTTGCGAAATTTACTATAATAGTTTTATCTACTATAAAAAAACTTGAGAGTTTATCAAAATTAAAACCAAACCAGAAAAGACAAAAAAAAAACACTCAATGTTAAATAAATATAAAAAAATATTTCTTTAACGATTGAAATCGTTGTGTTAATCTAGACACTTTTACACGTAAAACATGCCCACTTCGGGTCTATGACGTCTCACGCATATTTTCAAACGTCTGTATCTCATTGAATAATTAGTGTTAAAGTGTGAGACACACTATATTTCTTAGATAATGACATACTTTAAATCGAAGCAAACTTGATTTTAGTGTTGCGATGTCCTTTAATTGTATTTTATATTTTAAATTGTCTATAATTCTATAGGTACCAATAATTCAATAGTTTTTTTCTAGATTTTAAGTCTTCTATGGCTGTGGGTTATTGGATAAGAAATAAATATTTTTTAGATCAGTCATTCAGAAATTACATAATAATAGATGGTGTTCCATGCACGTTTAAAAAGATGTAAAAGGTAACTAAATAAATAATTTTACAAATTTATTATTTTTCATTGAATAAAATTACATAAACTTGTTAAAATATTTAAATTTTAAGACATCATCTGTGTTTGCATGTGACTGTTTTGTACTTTCCATCATAATGTATATCATAATATCTGTTTTAAATAGTTAAACTACAAGAAATTCAGGATAATGCGGTAGGTAACGATAGTTGATAATTGATATAGGTACCTACCATTCTCACTGACAGGGTAGGTATACACGTTTTGACGTTTCGGTTTTTTTGTATTAATTTCAAATTATACTTATTATAGATAATATATTGACCTACTATAACCTTTTACTGTTTTAAACTAAATAAATAAGAAGATTTTATTATTTAAATTATAAGATTCTATGTTTATACTTATTGAGATTGCCATCGTGATAACCACCATTCCAAATCTGATAACATATTCGTTGACATTGTGGCCACTGTACAACAGAATTTTATTGATGATTGGCGAAGTAATCATTCCGAAGAACACGCCTAAGTGTATGGAAAAGTAGAACGTGCTGAAGAATACATGTACTTGTGTTGAGGTTACATTCTGATCATTTCCAATGAGCTGATCCACTCCAAATGCTGCAATACAGCATTTTATACCACCCACACCAATTGAAACAAAAACCAGACCGTATAGTGCCATGAAGCTAGATGATTAAAATGTGTTTGTAATAATACAATATTGATCGGTTAAGAGAGAACAGAAAGTTTTTAATTCAACAATTAAACGGTAAACGGGACTTTACAATATGCATATTATTATAGTTTATAAAACGCGTTGAACCGAATTTGTCGAGTTTTAAGATTTTTTATGGTATAAAACTACTGTAATTATTAGAGTCAATTTAAAAAGTGCCAAGTCACTTAAATTTAAATATAACACTATAACAGTATTTATTTTATTTTTTGTACCTCATATTATAGTGTTTTGATTTTTGAAGAAATTTGAATAAAAAAATACGGAACTATGTTTAAAATATAATATACAACGATTATAATAACTATGCCATGCCATCAACCATCAGGTTAAAATTCTAAATACGTGTACGGTGTACGCATTCGACAAATGTTTATTTTATTCAACCACTTCTTAATAGGTACTTAATCTCTAATAATGGTCATTGCTCACAGGAGACCAGCATTTTTTTGATCATGATGTTACAAATTATAGGCCAATATCGATTATTCCACATTTAGCCAAACTCTCCTTAGTCTATTCTAATATTAAAAGAAGTCTAAATCACATAATTATAGACGATCAGCATGGTTTCAGACCTGGCAAGTCTACAGTCACTAGCACTTAGCAGTGTTGCGTTCTCTACCTACTTGCTTGATAACATCGAGAAGGGTGGTCAAGTTGATGTTGTTATTACTGACTTCAAAAAAGCATTTGACACTGTTGACCATGGCCTTCTTATTAATGAATTAGACACACTGGGTATCGGTGATCCTCTCCTCTCTTGGTTGTGTTCTTACATCTCCAACAGAGTACAGACAGTAATTTGCAAAGGTCAATAATTGTAAGTCATCCTTAGTTAACATACCTTCAGGTGTCCCAAAAGGAGGCCATCTTAGTCCTTTACTCGTTATCTTATTCATTAATTCAATCAGTAAGTCGATTACCAAGGCTAAATTCCTGCTCTTTGCTGATGATATCAATATTTATTTGAAATCTAATGATATCTCTAGTTCCCTGACTCTGCAACATCAACTGGATGAATGAGCTCTATGGGCTCAACGTCTTAGTCTGAGTTTGAACTTAGCCAAATATCATATTATTACATTTTCTAGACGTCACAACCCAGCACTTTACTCTTACTATATCAATGGCTCCCCTCTCAAGCGTGTTTTTACTATTAAAGACCTAGGTATATATTTCAGCCCATCTCTTGATTTCAGCCACCATATTAATGTTACCACCTGTAAGGCATTGAAAGTCTTGGGTTTTATAAAGCGCAATACTAAAATGTTTAGCTCTGTCCGTTGTCTGCGTACACTTGGTCGGAGTTCATGTAAAGGGGGACAAGTCAATTTTTGACATTTTCGGTTTATATGTTAAAATTATAGGAAATTTCACGCCGGATCTGATGGTCACACTGTCGTTTGCATGTGACCATTTGTTATCAAATTATTTCCAAATGCGTTAGAGGACAAGTCAAAACATCGTTATGCGGAAGGGGACAAGTCATATTATAAATTATTATTTTCCAAAAATAGCGTTTGTTAACATTGTTATTAATAATAATTATTATATTCAACTATCATTGTTCCAAAAGCATACGACTAAACGACTTGACATGATTAATAATTTGTGAAGTAAAAAGTATTATTAATTTAAAAAAAAGCTTTTATTTACGTTGATTATACACAATATTCATACTATGTCAAAAAGAATTCAACGAATGATGAATCTGGCCAGTGGTAAGTGCTATTTTATTACTTATTACTCATATTAATATATTGACATAAAAAATGAAACAATATGAAGTAGGTAAATAAATTATACTAAACAATTATAATTCATTTTCACTTTCATTTGACTTTAGATATAAATAGATTTCAACCAGTTAAGAGGAAACTGCTGTTTACAGAAAATGTAAATCCTACAAAAAAACATGTACAGGTAATAAATAGTTTTTTATAATTATTATATTGTATTAAGTAGTGTATTTAAACTCCTAAAAATGTATGAAGTTTTATGAATTATTTTTATTATTCATAATATTATACCTATCAATACCCATTAAATTTACCAATGATTTATTATATAAAAATATTAATTATATGTTTTGTATTTATGTTTCTAAAGGAATGGGTGAATAATAGTGATCCATCCTATATTTTAAATGAAAATAATCATGAAGTTGATCCATGTTATAATAATGTATGTAGTATGTTATATTATTAATTGATAAAATAATTAAATAGGTACTTTCATTATTTTAGATTAAATAATAAAATATATTGTTTTAATTTTGCTATTTAGGGTATAGACGAGTGTATAGATAATAGTGTATTGAACATCAATGGTGAAGATTATACTATAGTATTTGGAAATCAATCCACAGACGTTCTACATGAGGTAAAAACTACAATATTATATCTTATGACTTATAGCCTTAGTTAAAAAAAACTAATTAATTGAAAAATCAATGTTTAATGTATATTATAGGTAATTTGTAGGTATAATAATATTGTGTAGGTATTTTTTTAATTTTATAATAACATTTCTTTTTTTTTTCTTTGTTTGAATGTCTTTAATGTGAGCAATAGTACATCTACCTATTTTACATTACAATATAAACTTTTCAGGAGTATATTAATAGTTTTTGATCTATAAATTTTATATTTTTAAATAATAATAAATTAACAACTCTTTATTAAAAAGTATAAACTATTAGGTAGCCTAGTAGCATTGATTTTAGAATATTAATATTAATATTTTTTTTAGTTTATTCTATAATCAATGCTCGTAGGTAACTATAAACTATTGGTGAGTTATTTCGTCACACAAAAGATAAAAAACTAGAAATATAATCATTATTTTAATTCTAAAATACTAATACAATGACAACAAATATTTTGTTCAATTTCAGGTTAATAAAAATTGGTTATGTTTATTGAAAAAAGTATACCTATTAAGTTATAATTTATTAATTAAAATTTAATATTCATGAACAGATTAAATTTTATTTTGGGAATTTTTCAATAAGACACACATGTAAATTTAACAAATAAATTGTATTATAAGCGTTATCTATTTTATACAGTTTAATTAATAATTTTTTTTAGATTTAATATATTAAATGCATTTATTGTATTTATTTTGTATTGATTATATTTTTTGCATTGAGCTTATATTTTAAAACTATTTAAGCATGGGTGTTTCATTCAGTTTGGGTTTATAGAACTTAAAAGAAAGACACATTTTAAACTGTATAATAATAATTAATCTTATATTGTTTATAAACTCATTAATTGACCCTACTGTACCTATATGTACAGAATAATAATATTATTATTTTTTTCTTAATTTCTGTATTAGATTGATGACATCAACAAATGGAACTGCAATGAGAATGAATATGAGTTAAAAAATCCACTATTAATACCCGATGAAAGCCAGAAAAGTCCCAATAAATCAGATACAATAAGTGTGATTCCCGGGACTCCAGATCATAATATTATAGTTGGGCATGAGGAAGGTTTGATCAACGATGAGGAGATTGATAATAATTTCAATGCAAGAAAAATTAGAATTAGTGTTAAAGGTGACACAGTCGATTACCGAAAATATAGACAGTTTAAAAGAAATTCTGGTCAAGAATATACCACTAATAAAGGTAAAAAAGTTAAAAGTCGAACTTCTGAGCCAATACCAAACTGTCGAGCCAAATGCAACACTAAAATAGATGATGATTTACGTGAAAAGTTATTTGCTTCTTATTGGTCAATAAACAATTTTAACAGAAGAGCTGCATATATTTCTAGTTGTATACATTTTACTGATACAAAAACTACAAGAAAGCGCAGGAATACACCAGAGAAACAAAAAAACAGAAATAAAACATTTCATTATGTTGTTCCAAAAGATGGGAACTCAATATCTGTTTGTAAAAGTTGTTTTTTAAAAATTTTTGGAGAAACCAAAAAATTTGTTAGCAATGTGTGTACACAAAAATTAAATTCTCCCATTAGTAAAACTTCACCAGATAAAAGGGGTAAAGCCAGTCCACCCAATAAAATAACACCTGGTGATATAACATTGGTAAAACAACATTTAAATAGCCTTCCAACGTACGAAAGCCACTACTGCCGAAAAGAGACAAGAAAAAAATACTTACCACCATACTTCACTCTACGTGCTGCTTATAACGAATATATAAAAACCGTTGAAACTCCAGTCAGTAGAACGATTTACGAAAAATATTTTAGAACATCTGGATTAAAGGTAAAAAGTCCAAAAAAAGACACATGCGCACAATGTGACAGACTACATATGCAAATTTCAGACAGTTCCTGTACATTTAATAAGAAAAATGAGCTCATCGCTGAACAAAAAAAACACCAAGAAGAAGCGGAAGAAGCATATTGTGTAAAAAGAAAAGATTCGTCTACACAAACAGAAAAAACCTGCGTTTTGGCATTCGATCTCCAACAATGTCTACCTACACCATGTTTAGAATCTTCAGTAGTATTTTATAAGCGCCAATTGTGGACTTATAATCTCACAGTTCACAATATGAAAACTTCTACTGCATCCTGCTACATTTGGAGTGAACCAATTGCCAAAAGGGGTGCAAACGATATAGGATCATGTGTTTTTGATTTTTTAAAAGAACTCTCGCCAGATATTAACCATGTGATTATGTATAGCGATTGCTGTTCTGGCCAAAATAAAAATAGTATCTTAATAGCCATGTGTCTTTGGTTTTTAGAAAACCAGGAGTCAATCGATGTGATTGACCATAAATTTTTGGTTCCTGGTCATACGCGCATGGAATGTGATTCAGACCATGCAAAGATAGAAAAAGCACGTAAAAGGTACTCAGCTCCTATAAATCATCCTAATAACTGGACAGAAATGATTCGTTGGGCAGGAAAAAATAAATTTAATGTAAAAGACATGAATCAAAATGATTT